TAAATTGGCCAACACACCAAGATTGAGCATTCCAAGTTCAATAACTATGCCCAAAAGTGTAAATTTGGATTTTGCATGACTATAACAAACTGATGCAATTGAATGTAAAAGATTGCACATGCAGAGAGTGTACAGTTCAATGGTTAAGAATTCATATCCTGCGGGCTATACAGGTTAGTTATCCCATTATATTTTCTCCTCCCTAAATTTGTACTCAAGCACCCAAATAAACGTTCAGCGAATTTACATTATAAGAATAAAAAGAAAGGAGTATCAAATTCTCAAATTTTCTATTTTGTTATTGTTCCATTAAGAATCAGAGACTAACAGCATTTAAAATTTCAATCAGTGTTCAATGAAGGAAGTTCCTCATAATTGGTTCATGTCAACTACTCAATTCAGAAAAGAGAATACTGATCAGTTTCTGGTTTTGAAGAAATCCGTACTTGGTCCGGAACCAGTTTGCTTGCAGGTTAGTTATCCCATTATATTTTCTCCTCCCTAAATTTGTACTCAGGCACCCAAATAAACGTTCAGTGAATTTACATTATAAGAATAAAAAGAAAGGAGTATCAAATTCTCAAATTTTCTATTTTGTTATTGTTCCATTAATAATCAGAGACTAACAGCATTTAAAATTTTAATCAGTGTTCGATGAAGGAAGTTCCTCATAATTGGTTCATGTCAACTACTCAATCAATTCAGAAAAGAGAATACTGATCAGTTTCTGGTTTTGAAGAAATCCGTACTTGGTCCTGAACCAGTTTGCTTGCAGGTAAATAAAGCAGTAAATTTGTAACTTCACCATCAAAAGAATAAGTAAAACAGCCCCTTCAAATTTACCATTGGCCATTTTACCTAAAACTAGTTTTAACTGATCAACTCCCTAGACTGCTCACCAGCTCCCCTAACTCCCCAGTTCTCAACCATCCTTCCCTCCTTCCTGAATCTACAGTTAAGCAACCAGCTAAGCGTTTCTGTAAATTAGCATGATAAGGAGAAAAAGGAAAAGGAAAGACTAAAATCCAAAATTTTCCTTTTTGCTATTATTCCATTAAGAATCAGAGATCTGATGCATTTAACATTTCAAGCTTCATTAAAAGAAAGTAATCATAAACCAATTATGCCAATTACACAATATAGAGAAACAATTTTAGATTTTGAAGATATTTGATATTCATTTCCTTACCTGTAGTAATACCAGAATTTTAATTTAAATATGAAAAATAAGTAATATATCCCTTCAGCATCACCGCTGACCATTTTAAGTTTTTCCAATTTTGACTCACTCCCCACCAGGTCCCATCATTCATTAGTCCTGGCCACTTTCTTCAATTCCCAAATGTCTAACCCAGACCATTGAGGCCACAATGATAGAACTTATCTTTCTAAATCTCGAATACAATCAATAAACTAGGCATGCTTGTCTAAAACGTGATGTAAAAAGCATAACAATTAACCACTCAGATGAAAAAATAATAATAATAAGACAACCTACAATTTCATCATTTGTGGTACACCATGAAAGACCTGTGCTAAATCTCAATGTTCAATGTATCATTTTGATTTCATCAAGTCATAAGTCTTAGGCTTCATTTCTTGTATACTTTGTGATCCTTACGAGGCTATCATTCGTAATGAACTTCAATGCCTAAATGATGCCCTTGTGTCTACTACTCTCCTTACTACGTGAATTGTACATGGAATAAAAAAGATATAGTGGAGCTGGAATATGGCTGTCATGTATCCAAATGTTCAATTCATCAAATATCAAGATTTGGATAACATGAATACGACAAATATTTTCCCTGTGTCTATAATTGTAAGTCTTAATTTTCGAATTGATACAGATGTAAGATGTTTAGGTAAGAATTGAAAATGTGAGTATGTTGTGTATCCTTTTCATGTTTACCGTAAAACAAAGGTCAATTCCTGATCACATTGTGTACTTTTAAGTATGAGGATTGTGTCATGTACTTCAAATGTGGCATTTTTTGGAAGGAAAATAATAATTTTTGGAGAGAGGTCACTATTTGTGGACAAATCTTCAATGTGAACAAATGGAATATATTTTGCTACCCTTTTATTATTTTATGGTATAATCTATATGAAACAGCTAGAATAAATCAACCATCTTTGACGTACATAGGTACTCGATATCCCGGAAGAGCATAAGTAGATCTCTTAAGTCTATATAAATGATCTACCCATTGTACAATACACCAAGACATAAGGAAGTGTGAGAACTCTTTAATTGAAAAGAGCATATTCGATTATATTTCTTGTTGCAGTTGATATTTGTGTAAGAGATGCTCATAAGACTTGGTGCCCATTAATTTTCTCTATAGATTTGGTGCTCACAGCCACGTGCTCTATGGATGTAATTATCGTGGCTTTGTCCAATACTGAAAATAATGTACAAATCCATCCTTATTGAAATATTACCTTAAAAGGAACTTTATCGTAGCTAAAAGAACTCTTTCCAAACAAAACAGCCATATAATATTGTTGAGGGCATGATTTTGCAATATGAACCTTTAACCTTCACCAAATTGAAGAAAGCAAACCCATTACACTCTCATAGGCACATAACCCAACTATAGCTCCGGCCCACAATACTTCATGTGAGTTTCAATTTCAACGCTTAAAATAAGTGGTCAAATGTTCAATTGATCATCTAGACAAAGTGAAAATTGAATGACCAAATTTGAAGAAGGCAAGCCTTTTCAACCAAATTCATAGAGCACGTGACCTATGATGCACCGACACGGACGTCAACATGCGAATTTTCAAAAAAGTACCTATACGATAACATCGCTAACACGTTGATTAAATTTTTCAGTTATATAGGGGTTGTTTGGGCCCCCTTTTTTCTAAAAATGTATTTTGTAATAGTATTATGATGGAGAATGTGATTAAAAAATAAGGAAAAACTTTGTATTTGCGTGTAATATTATTTTATTGAAAAATGTATGGCTGAAATGGGGGTTAAATCACTGTTCAAGAATGTATTTTGATGGAAAAAATAGGGGCGCAAACAAGGGCATAGTGTAAATTTAGTTTTATATGTGTTATTAATTTTTCTTATTGAAGTCTTTCAAATATGAGTACCTATTTGTTATTTAATAATAACTTTGAGTTAAAAATATATAACATTTCTAATAAAAAAGAAAAATGACCATGATAGAGTATCCGAGTAGTGGAGGTATTCAACACGTGTCAGACATAGACACTAGTTGAAGTGACTGTACAACATAGCACGCGATCATGATACTGAATCCAAGTAGAACGTTAAAGGGCACCAAGTCTCAAGATATATGGTTGCCACCGGTAATACAACTTCACTTTTTGAGAATAACACACACCAATTATTGCTATTTAAATATAATAATCTTGTAAAACATCAATTACAAAAGAAATTGAACAAAGTTCGGTAAATGTTACACGTCTCTTCACATTACTACAAAGTCACTCTACTAAATTCAAAAGAGCAATATATAGGCTTTATGGTTTTGGGACTATTATTTAAGTAAAGGTTCCAAAAGCGATAAATATATGTTGTTTCTTGGCAATCTCTTTCTATATTGTTTCAACCTAGGCCATACGCTATCCCTATGCTACACCATCAAAGACTAGACTAGGACCTGGAATAAATATCACCTTAGATAAAGGTGGCTTGTTCAAGAAATCAAACCAAAACGCAACCACAAGAAAAGTTGGTTATAGATGGTGCGACGTTCATGCTAACGATGAAATTACCCTCTATTAATGGATTATCTACTTTAAAGATATCAATTGCAGAAGGAAACAAAATTCATGCTCTTTTCGTTGAAAAGTTCTCACAATTTCGTCTCTCTTCGTAAACTTTACAAAAGCGTAGGTCAGATATATAAACTTAAGAGACCTGCTAATGCTATATAATTGAAGTAGGATTTTTATAAAGGCTAGAGGGCCAATTTTCTAAGATCACGTTTGAAGGAACACCGATTCCTTACCAAATCATTCCACAGCAAAAGACCTATATAAGAGGATCCCTAGATTGTTAAATTCATTTTGACAAATCAATTATTAAGACTATTATGTTGCTCACACTCTCAATTGTTTCTAACTTATGCATCTGAGGTTCACCGTCTTGACCCTAAAAATTCACATCTAGAGTGTAACACCGACTCTTTACCAATCCAACCTGAAGCACAAGACTAGCATAGGACCCTTGGACAAGTAAATCTCATTTACTGCTACTATCATATTGCCCTCAACATCAACCATTCCTGATCTGAGCATTAGATGGCCGTCATAGGAGCTTAGACGCATCTCTATCGAGGCTCATTGTAGAGTCACTATGAACAAGAGACGAAACTCGAAAAGTACATCAACAATGATAAGAGAATTACCTTCTTTATTGTCAATTGAAGATCACTAAGGAATTTCTCCCACACGACCCTTAAGCAGGTAGATACAATGTAGTGACATTCAAATATAAATCATTTATAGTATAATGTCAGTGGCCCAATAGGTAACATTTGAATCATAAAATTGAATGAGCAGACCTTGTTTCATGTCATTGTGCTGTGTAACTATGCATCATTTTGCTTCAACCAGATCTATGCACCTTTGCACTTCAACTATATGATTTACTTACGTTATTCTTTGTGCACACATGGCCCACGTGGTCAAACTTCAGACCAAGATGAGCTGTCAAATCAGAATCTTACTTTAATCGCTCTATGGAGCACATTACTTAATAAACATCTTGACCTTGTGGACAGCGTTAAGCCAGGTAGAAAGATTTCTTACAAAGGCATGGACCAGGGAAGGTAGTAAAAAGCACAAACCACCGTGAACTAAGAAGATATCAAGCCTTCCCCAGAGGAGCCTCCAATGACTGTCCAGAAGAAGGATTGTCCCAGAAATAGGGATGCAATCCAGGGTTCATTTAGCTCAGATCTCGAAAGTAATGGCATTTCTTCGCTAAGAAGCAGTGATCATTAATTAGGCTGTCAACCAATCAAAACAGAAAGAAGATAGAGCCAACTTAGATGCAACTTAAAAACCCCAAGTGAGTCTGACAGGCCACCCATGTCAACCTGTGGGGATCCAAAGTTCCCATATAACTGGCACTGTGGTACACATCTTAAGAAGTCATCAACTCCATAGTTGATATGAGTAGGATGGTGACTGATCTAGAATATTTGTAAACGCACCAAACCTTGCCAAAAAAAGCAAGTCACTTTTTGTATTCAAATTTACTATCTTTACCTAACTTATTTTTTGATCCCATTGACTGTAGCATCCAAGAGTCTTTGATCGTTGCAACCTCTCCTTTTCTACTACTAGACAACCGAGTGTTCATTTTGCAAGATTTATTCCCAAATTCAGGGGAAATTTTGGGTCAAATTTAGCCACGCAGAATTTAAGATCAACTACTTATATGCCACGAAGTCCAGAAAAATAAACAAATAGGTGAACAATGGTGAAACCAAATTTCATAAATATTCAATAATCATTCAAACAAACGTGACACAATTCATAGAAAAAAAACTCCAAACAAAAGCAGAAATATGTTTTACCTGTTTTTGGGCTCTGTACTTCGACAAATCAAGAGAGAAAGCAGATTCAACTCTGAAAGAATATTCAGATGTATTCACTATCAGTCGTTCAAAAAAATATGAAACAACCAAAACTCGAGTGCACCGTTTAATGCATGTAAACAATATTACGATAATCAAAGCAAGAAAAGAAAAACGAAGATTACAATACGCAAAAATGCAGATTATAAAGAGATATGGGTAATGATTAATTCTGTAATAATTACTTATTGATAAATAATCACTTGTTCAATTCAAGTCTTCAAGATCTAGAACATTTTACGCACAAGTCAAATTCTGCGAGTGTCGTGTAAATCTTGATTCAACGCGTACCTTTTGAGGAAGAAAAGGTTGAGGAATAATGCAGTACTCTAAAAATAATAAAATTTCTGTTCTTAATGAACACCGCTTGATGAGAAGAAGAGGAGAGAGAAGAAAATATCTTTGCGGTAGTACGTGACGTCGTGACGAGGTCGGATAATTCGATGCTTTCGGTGTTTCAAAACCAGAGGGTTGAGAATCCACGCTGGCCAACTTGATTGGATGACTTTTCATAAGCTGATGGGGCAGGGGATTGTCGGGTGACGTGTTATGACGGCGTCGTTTTTGTATTTCGAAGTTAGGTTGAGTTCAAGGAAACAAGTTGAAAATTTGAACTAAAATCAGGGGGCCGGCCACCCGCAAACCTTATTTATAAATGGATACTTAAATTTTAAATTTATAATTATTTTGCGCGGATTGTCGCTAACAATTAAAAAAAGTTCAGACGATTGTGTAAGGAATAGACCTCTTGAGACAAAGTCTAAAAAATGGGTGTTTTATTGTCGAAGATTTAGAATCGGAAATAAACAGAATGCCTTTAAGGGGCACAAACATACGAATACTAAAAGAAGTGTTTTAAAGTTAAACTAAAAAATTGAAATTACATATTATATGTTGAGAGTGTTTGATTTGGGGTCTTTTCCTCTATATCTTTTCTTCCTTTTTATACTCCCTTATTAATTTCTTCGTGATACACTACTTGAAAACTGCTTGATTGCTCTAAAACCACCCACTTTTTTCATGATGGCTGATTTGTCGTGGAACTATCGTCTCTAACTGTTGCCATTACTCTTGTCGTTCAACCGCCAACAACTAGGATTATTGGATCGTGGGGTATGATAAGATTGCTCAATAACTGCTTCAATAACTGATGTTCTGGATAACCATAATATCTCATGTTTGTTAAGATCCTGGACAATTCGAAGGTTTGGGCAAGAACTGACTCATTCGTTTTGGACGACCGTAAGGCACTTCATTCGCTCAGATTATGAGCGTCTTGTAAGTTTGGACGATAATATTACTTTGTTCTTCGGCCTCCACTGCATTCATCAATGATCTTATTTGGGCATTTATCCTGGACTTCCCAATTGGATTTCATTCCTTAGGCTATTTAATTTAAGCTACACTTTTTGTATGTCAACAATAATTAAATAAGTAAATTATTTATTTTTTAATTTAAAATGTAAAAAATTGAGAAAATAAAGACTCGTTCAAACTTATTTAAAAATAATCACCTATTAAGTAATTTTTACTTTCTTTAAAGTTTAACGAGTATGGAGTTCGTGTTTAGCTTTTATTTTTGGAGAGCTCGTACAATATAAGATCACAGTATAAATCTCTACTTCTAAAACAAAAATTTCCAATATTGATATTATAATGTTTAACTAGACAATTGGCTTTTTATGTTATTATGCTGAGCAAATATTATTAACTCTTTGTTTGGCAAAAAAAATTTATGTAATAATTAAAAAAACTTTTCAATTTATTTGAGCTAGAAAATCTTATGATCGAGTTATTATTGAATTCGACAGCATAAAAGAAGAAAATTAAACAATCCAAGTATTTTCTTCGTTTATCTAGGAGAAAAATGTACAATTAGAACTTTGAGAAATAATGCATTATCAATTGTAAGAAAATACCACGTTTGATACAAAATGTGTAGGCTTTATAAGGTATAAGGCCATCCAACACAAACACTAAGTGCTTGTTTCGTAAAGATTTTACTCTTAAAAAGTTGATCAAATCTTAATTTTAACTACACATTTTATTGGATTCACAACTTTTATAACTTTTTTTTAAGATCTATTAACTTTAAGCAATATCACATAATCCCAAATTTTGAAAATACACGTCATGGGGTGAAATATAATGAAATTTATTTGCCAAAAAGGTGTTTATTGCAAAGTTTTAACAATTGGCCTTTAATATTATTGTAAAATAATTATAAGATTCTTGGAGCCAGAAACATGTACACGTTTCATTTGTGAAAAAAAAAAAATTATCCTTCGCTTGGAGTTTCACTACCTCAATATCGTCCTTACTTGGATTTTCACCGCCTCCACCTCCACCTCCACCTCCGTCTTCGGCTCATCCCTCTTCTTCTCGGGAGCCTCCACCTCTACCTTCAAATCAACCTTATCCTTGGCATCCACCGAAACACTAACTGAATTAGTGACCTTTGACTCGTATGACAGGCTTAACTTGGCAGCACCATCACATGAGCCCTATCAAAGACTCTATAACCAACTCCAGGTATTCTTCAACATCTATGCCTCAGAGAGGCAACACCTCGAACATATTAGAGGACCCTGCCTACCCTCCAACACCTCCAAACTTGAGGATTTTTCAGAAATAGGTTTCATTTACGCCCTAGTTTAATTTTTATTTTTGTCCAAATAATGTCAAAATGCCCACCAGCTCATCATCAATAAAGGAAGGTGTAAAGGAATCTGTACAAGTAGCCTTATTCTCTTTCTAAATGATTCATCTACCCACTTCATTAAGTAAAATGATTTCTATACAATTTGTTGGATAAAGCAGCTTGTACAATTTTTTTACCACTGTTTGCTAAAATAATATACCGCAAGTGCAATGGTCGCGTTCAAATAATAAAGTGGACTTTTTGAGTCTGAGTTGTCGATCCCTCGAGGAATGCTTACTTTCGCTTACACAATTTTAGTCAATTTAATTTTAACAATAATAACAAACACACAATAAATTTTGATTTTGAAAATTAAGGAAAATTAACTAAAATCTATAAAATAAGAAAACATGAACACTTCGAAATTTTGAAAGAAAAAAGTGGTTGAGATTCATGGTTTCGCTTAACCGTCACCTAATTAATTTCTCCACAAGCCAATTAACAAATTACTCATTTACGATGTTAGACCCGATTTTTCAATTTTATTTAATTACCAATCTCGAGCGAAATTAACCCTAATTAATTGGTTTAATCTACTATATCTCTGTGTCGATTAAAATCAAATAATCGCATTAAATTTTAGTGAAAATAGTTCAATGGATCACCTAGGGTTATGAGTATATTT